TGGGCATGTACAGCACAGCCGCGTCGGCCTTGGCGGCAGGCGCATCACAAAGTTCTATGTGTAAATGAACTGCGGCGACAATTCTGGAGCTGCAATTCACCGACATGATGAAGAGTATCATCTTATAGATATAGTGTTAAGATTGCTTATTTATTTGATGTATTTGGTTAGTTTTTTATGAAGAAGAGCATCGTATGTAATGCATCAGTTGTACATGCATGCATTTTATCAATCAGAGCTCAAATTCACTGAAAGGGCGCCACCCTACCTGGCACCGCAGAAACTTCCTCTCAGGCGGCAGGTGGCGCCACACGTTGGCGATGTCATTGTCTTTTCTCCTAAGGATGATCCATCGACAGATTGCACTACTTTCATGCTGATGTGCATTAACTTCATGCAATAGCATTGTGCAGTACACCCAGGAAAGTGAAAGGGACGCACCCAACCTGGCACCGCCGAAATTCCTCTCAGGCAGCGCGCCACGGGCGCGCCCCAACCACTAGTGTTGATAAGTTACTTAGGTATACTAGATGACGCCCCTTACGTTGTTGCGGGGATATTTCGCAACATAATCCGATGAAGTGGCATGCTTGCTTGTTAAGAGACATATGATAGTAGGGGTGGGCTTTTCTCATGCATGTTATGAGATGATGTTGTATGCTTGCATGTTGAGAGTACTAGTTAGTAGGAGGTAACTTTTTTAATCAAATATATGTAGCATAATAGAATAAAAATTCTTATGTATATTTGCATGTTGAGATGGATCTTTTTTCATGCAAGCCATAATGAAGTGGTATGCTTGCATGTTGAGAGACATATGATAATTGGGGTGGGCATTTTTCTCATGCATGTCGTGTGATGATATGGCATGCTTGCATGTTGAGATAAATAGTTAGTGGGAGTTAGTTATTTAGATACAGAAGATAAGATTCCTTACTTACAATTTGATAAACTTGTAAATGATTATTTCTCTTCATAGAATTTACAGAACAATCACCTTCTATTGATTGAAATAAGCATAAACCGAGCCAGTGCAATCGAGTGCAGGTAACGTATCCATGCATGAGGGCCACAGCGCTATGGCATTATTATTCAGCTGCCGATCGACCGGAATGCACGCATATGCGTGGCCGCCGTCCGGCCGGCAGGCTAGCCGACCATGGGGATGTTGGCGACAAGTGCTTCGGGCTGTTGCGAGTCGTAGAAGACGCGGACGCGCTTGCTGTTGAACCCAATGGGCACCGGAGTTTGGTCCGGAAGCACCACCACGGTGACGTCCGGCCTGTCCCGGCGGATCTTGCTCACCGCCGGCGTCGCCGGGACGCCCAACAGCTCCGGCCACTCCACCTTTTCGGGACCATTGTTACCTCCGCTCATCTCGATCTGTTTAATTATTACTGATGTGTGCACGTCTGCCAGATGTATACACTCACATTGACTCTTTACTCATACCTGTATTTATGGATTGCAAGCAACGAATGCCGTCATTACTAGAGCGTTGGCTTTGCCGGACGCCCTTGCCTTGTTTGGTCAGTTGAACTTTTGCTTGTTTCCTTGATGCATTCGTAGCTAGATTTGAACTTTTGCCTGTTTGGTCAATAAGACTTGAGTAAAGGTATGGCTTTTATTGTTTTGTTTTTTTCCGTTTTCGTGTATCACACCTATTATCTTGGTACTGTCCGTCATAATATACTGCCACATTGGATTTCAGTCTAGTGGTTGCATTGGTTTTCACTTTCAGTGAGATGCTGTTGAAATTCGCTGAATTTCAATAATTTTTGTTGATACCAAAGTATTACCTTTTGATCAAAATATTTCAGTCATTACAGTTGTATAGTTATCAAAAAATTATATAGCAGGCTATGCCAGAAGTTAAGCCACATTTAGCGTTGAACTATAAAAAAAAAACTGTACAATCAAGCATAGCAGCATGCAACCATAACAAAGGCATACCAGCAAAGCATCTAGCTATAACAAAGAAACGCTTGGCATAGCTTTGGTGTGACGCTAAAGTGAGGCCCAAGTTTAGCGCTAAAATCACGCTATTGTCTGCTATTAGCGACAAAATTCATTTAGCATAAACACACACAACTTTAGCGTTATGCCACTCCAAACGCTATAGCAACATTATAGTATGCTATTTAAAATTTTGATATTTATAGTTCAAAGTAAGTTCAGTAGATACCGAAAATATTTTGAAGTATTTGTTTGAACATTGAACTTTTAAATATTTCAAAACATTAAAATAAACTTTAATGTCCAAATAAATTTATGAATTACATAGAACATTATAAATGGAAAATGTTTGGTTAAATTATTATTTTTTGAATTTAAACCAAAATTCCAAAATATTTTGAGAGGTGTGGAAGGGAGAAATCTGTGATCGATAGTGCCGACCACTGTGTAGGTGATACTCGTAGACGTTGCATTCCTTCTTGAGGTTACGTCATGGTCTCCCTTTCTCTCTCCCTCTTTCGCTCCCTCCCTCCATCCTTACCCCCTTCCTCCCTCTTGTCTCCCAGGTGAAAATCCCTAATCCACTTTGATTGGACGACAACAACGTTTATTGTGTCATGTCTTCTTCTAGGCATCGTCTTGGGAACAAAGGGGGTCAAGGGTGTGCTGGTTGTGGGTATGGTTTGCGAGCGCTTGGTGGTGCTGCGATCTGAGTAGTGCCTCTAACGTTGACGGTGGTGAGTTTGGTTCCTCTCGTAGATGCCCTCGTACTCCCGTGCGTCCCAGGAGGTTTACATTCGGTTTCCATGAGCCTGGATGGCAAAGGATAGGCCCCCCTCCTCACTGGCAAGTTGAGTTGTGGCAGCAACGAGAGCCTCGTGCTTCTTTGCACGGATGCCAACGGAGTGGCTATCTCTATGCCCGGTGTAATTGCTCGACAATGTGTTTCCTTGTCTTTAGTGAGTAGCAACAAAGTTGGTCCCAAGGTGATTGTGGCTCAATAAGGTAGCGGTTCACGTCGCCTTGTCTTGGGGCCCTGTAATCCGTGCCCATCCAAGTTTTAGGGTGAGTGATTCCATAGGCAGATGGTGCAGCATCCTGCGATCCCGGTCGAGGAGGCAGGTGCTTCGTTCAGCGATTGTACATGATGGTTCTTATGGTTTTGACTCCCTTGTGCAGGTGACGGTCTGCCTTATATCGTCGGCTAGTCTCCTTGAATCGGCTCCTTGTCTACTCTTTGGAACCCCAACACGGCAGAGAGCTTCGATGATTTCAAGGTATGATATGTTTTGATTATCATTGAAGTCTGCTTGTTTTCATGTTGCTATGTAAGCTATTTATCAACACATATATATCATGTTTCGATGTACTCCTGCACATAAGTGAAATGCATAAAACCACCACAATTGTGTCGTCATTACAGGAAAGCCACCAATTTTGGTTCCCAGTGTAAAATGCACCAAAAGCAACGTTAATCATTGACAAAATGCATTAAACATTACTTGACCCCGAATTTGATGGGTTAACGGCCATTTAGATTGAACATGGGGCCCACTCGCCAGTCTTCTTCCTCCCCCACCACAGCATTCCCATTCTCTTTCCTTCTTATCTATTCCCAAGCCACCTCCTCAACCAAGCCACACGATCGCTCGACCGGGGCGCTACCACTGGCGAGCCGCCGCCAAGCCACTGCCTTCACCATCGCACCATCACAGCCTTTCCCATGCCCACCCACCACTGTTGCAGCTTTGGTCTACCCACCAACCCACCTCTTCATCACCCACCCACAGACAGACTTCAATCCCGCACCCTCCTCCAGCTTCTTCGGCGGTGCCGCCCGAACCCACCATGCCATCACCTTCCTCCGATGACTCCAACCCATCCACTACCCCACCAGCACGCCCAACCTCCGCCCCGCATCATCTCGCCCCTAACCCGAGCGGCTCGGACCTCCCTACCACCCACCTGGCACCTCCTCCTCCCGCTCAAACACAACACCACTTTGTGCCTCCTTCCTTCAGTGTTGGCACTGCTCCCCATGCCCCTCACCCGTGCAGCCATTAGTTGCCTGGATCCGTCCCTCACGGGAACCTAATCATCGATCAGGCCCTCGCCCATGTCGGATCCTGCTGCCGTGGCCCTTTGCGCAGCCAACAGACTCGCTGAGGCACGGTATTAGGTCGACCCGTACCCCAATCAAGCGCCTCTGTGAACTCCTCGTTTCACATCCTTCCTTCCCCCGACGACGCAGCTCTACGAATCATAGTATACGAAGCACGACCATGGCATCCTCTCCCTCCACAGTTCGCCGGTGACGATGGTGCCTTCCGAAGAAGCCTCATGGTCTGCGGGTGTGTGATCCAGTAATGCTACATCGATGGATGCTTACATGCATTTTATGTTATTAGTTTGAGTTGGCAAATTGTGATTGGATAAGGGGGACGAAGAGGCCGCACCTAGCTGAAATTCAAAGTGGGTGAAGAGAATTAGAGGGAAGGGCCGTTCCGCTGGTGCACGGATGCAATTTTGCCAGTTGGTGTGCGGTACCCATATCGATTAATTTTAATGTTCGTTAGTCGGCGCTGTCTATCCCTTTGCCATGTCAGCCCTTCCCCATGTCGAATAGGAGGTCAAGCGGCATTTAGTGCATTTTGTCAATTGTGTTCGGTGCATTTTGCGACGGGAACCAAAATCGAACGTTTTTCTTGTTAATAATGACAAAATTATGGTGGTTTTATGCATTTCACACCTTGTACATGATTGATGATTTTATTATTTTAAAGCCGGGCTTGTCTCGATCCTTCATTCTAGAAAACCAAAGTCACCATCTTAAAGGAAAAAAAAAACAATGTGAACGAAGTAAAAAAAAAAGAATCAGACAACTTGCTTACAAACTGCTCTTATTAATTATTCCCAAGATAGATCACATACATGGCTCTATCAAACGGTGTAAACGGTGTAACCGAGCAAATGATAAAACGTGAGTTACACACTTCCAAGCAAGCGTGCATGCATACATGCAAGCTGAAATCATACGTGGCTAGCTAGCCGATGACAGGGGTCTTGGTGACGGCGCCGAGAGCGTCGATGAAGACGCGGACACGCCCAGGGTTGGCTCCGGGGAGCAGATTGGTGCCCGGCGGGAGCACCTCCACGGAGAGGTCGGGCCTGTCCGTCATGATCTTCATCACCGCCGGCGTGGCCGGCATGCCCACCACCTCCGGCCACGACGTCTTGCGGTGACTAGGTGGCGCCATTTTTTCCGAAAGCTTAATTTGTATCAGCCGCTTGCGGATGTCGAAGCTCCGGAAGCAATTTGCAAAGACTGTATGTGGCCTCGCCTCCACTTTGAACATGTGTTTATATACTACGGTGTAGTAGTACTAGGTCTTGAAGAACGTTGGTTTTGCCGCACCCTTGTTTGGCGCGTGCGTTCTTGCTTGCTGGGCAAACAGCAAGGAAATTAACTATTTCATTTTTATGATTGGGAAACAGTCAAATCATCATAGGAGTGATCACTGGAGACACTTTCCTCCAAAGTAATAAGACTATTTTTTTTGGGACGGAGGGAGTACATGTTTGGCCAATTGGCCTTATACATGGCCATAAGTCGGGCCCAGCCGGCCGGAAGCTCGGCCCCGTAGCTGAAAAGCCAGGCCCGGCCCAACCTTCGGGCCTAGATTTCAGGCCTGGAGGCCCATCAGTGTAAAAGCTCATCGTGCCTCAGGCCGGGCCTCTTACTTAAAACACACATATGCAATTCCCAAGCCGGCCCGCCCTAGCCTTTGGGCTCAAAATTTAGGCCCAGGACCGGCTCGTGGGCAAGACCGGGTTAGGTCGGGTCGCCGTATTTCGGGCCGGGTCAGGTCGGGCCAGGTTTCCCATGGCAGGTATAATTGGCCTCCTCTTTCTTTCAATAGGTTTAAATTTAAATCGCTTCTGTATTAAGTTGTCGCCACCATAAATTATTGATTTCTTTCTCGCTGGAACTTATGAGCAGCAGCGCTAGCTAGTTCCTGACTATGAGAGACATAAGTCTCGCTTACTGCGAGATGTATGCCCATCCCGCCTCTTGGTGCTTCCGCTAGTGGGTTGGCCCAATAAATATGTGTTCCTGCCGTTTTACTGTGTGTTTTCTCTATCGACTTCCCTTCGGGTTTACTTTCTTGATTTACCAAATCCATGTTGCCTTTTTAAAATACATATTCAATTTTATGCATACATGTTGATCCAAATACGCGTTAAACATTTTTCAAATACACGCCGAACATTATTTTGAATACATGTCGTCATTTGTAAAATGCATATTGAACATTTTTTTCCCATACATAGTGTACATTTTCAGACACGTGTTTGAACATTTAAAAAATGCCATTAACATCTTCTTAAAACATGCAAAATTTTGCAAAGTGTTAGAACATTTTTCTAAATGACATGAACATCTGTTTGTAAGTTACAAACATGTTTCTAAAATTGTGAGAACAATTATTTACATTTCATGAACATTTTTCTTAAATTTTATGAAATGTATTTTTAAAATGGGAACTTTTTAAAATTTCATGGACATTTTTGTTAATGCTTTAAACATTGTTTTAGAAATTACATGAAGATATTTTTGTATTTTCATTAAACTTTTGAAAATATTTCAACCAAAAAAATTTAAACATGTTTACATTTTTAAATGTCACAAAACAATTAACTGTATAAATAATTTTTAGAATTGCACAATCAATTTTTCACATTTCCTGAAAATTGACCTAATGTATGGTCAAATTTCCAAATATTTAAGTAACTATATATATATATATATATATATATATATATTTGAAATATGAAAAAAAAGGAACACAAGTAATGTATGTAATATTGACAACACTGTCCACTTCATGGTCTCGGCGAGGCGACTAGTCTGTCTCACAATTGGGGAGATACAAACCCCGTCGTGCCGGGGTGCGTCTAGGTGAATCCTATTTGCCGCTTGCACCGCCAAATACACTGTAATTCATACATGGCACATACTCCCCTTGATTGATACCTTAACAGGCCGGCCCATCTAGCGTATCATACCCATCGGAAGATCTCCCCAATTTTGGGAAGCTTCTGCACCTGGTTTTGGAGCTTCCACCCCATTCTTTTTTCTTTTTCCCTTTTCTGTTTTTTTACCTAGTTTTGTTTTGAATTTTTATATTTTAATTTTTACTCTTTATTTCCTTTCCATCTTATTTGTTTAAAACATGAACTTTTTACATAGGCCAAAACATTTGTAAACTAAAATGGCCATGGTTCTTTAAGCCAAATTAGCATGGTACCTGAAAAGTACTTTTGCCAAGGTCCAAAAGATTACGAAAAAATATATATATTTAGATCATGGAAAATGTTCATAAAAAGGGTACATGTATTGGACGAAATATATCATGTCAAAGTGCGCTACATATTATCAATACAAAATGTTGTATTGCATAGGTTGGATGAAAAACCAAGGTATTGGCCCAATAGAGAATTTGCCAAAGTACATAAAAGTAAATTTGCCATGGTCCATAAACTTAATTTGCCTTGGTGCATAAAATGAAAAACTTATGCAATTTGCAATGTGTAGGAAATGATTTTTTGTTAAAAACATTCCAAACACATGTAAATTGTGCAAAAAAAATTTCTCAAAACAAGGAAAGAATTATGGATTTTTCAAGGCGGAGAAGATAAATTTGGCACATGTTCACTAGTTTTCATGCTATCTACAAAAAAATGGCATGGTATCCACAACAAAAATGTGTTGGTAGTACAATTTTTTTGCCAGGGTCCAATTTAAAAGTAGAATGCTTACATTTGC